GTGGAGAGGGCATGGGCCGTCAAGGATCTTCTTGTACTACTCGTCGTAGTTGCGCTTGGCTCGAGGTTCATTAACGGCGACGACGATATGGTCTGGCCGGCGGCGGCGATTTTGACCAGACTTGGATCCTTCTGGCCGATCACGGCCGCTGTCCCGATGGTAACTGTGGTCGTCGTAACGGCAGTCATTGTGGCGTTGGTTGTCGGGGCGGTCGTCGTAGCGATGAGTTGGGCGATGAGTGCCCGCATCTTCGTTGAAGCGCACCTCGGCTTCCTCGGCGTCGACGTACTGGTTGGCGGTCGTGATCATCTCGCCAATCCCTGTGGGTGGCTTGCGGTTGAACTTGGAGCGAAGCTCGTGGTGATGGAGTCCTCGGATGAAGGTGGTGATGACCTCAGCTTCCGTGATGTTGGGAATAGAATTCCTCATCTCGGAAAAGCATCGGATGTAGCTACGGAGGAGCTCGGACGGCTTCTGGTTGATGCGGTTCAGATCATGCTTGGTGCCCGGCCGAGTACACGTAGCCATATAATTGTCGGTGAAGACTTTTTTAAGCTCTTCCCAGGATCTGATGGAGTTCGGGGCAAGGCTTGTGAACCAGTTCAAGACGGTTGGCGCGAGCATGACGGGAAGATAGTTCGCCATGACATTGGTGTCTCCTTCAGCGGCGCGGACAGCAGCGGCGTAAGCCTGTAGCCACTATGTTGGGTTCATCCCTCCCTCGTAGGGCTCGACCCTAGTGATTTTAAAACCACGGGGCCACTAAAGTGTTCGGAGCGCCCTCATGAATGCTGGGGCCCTTCGGGGTTGTCGGCGCCGTCGTCTGCAGCGTTGCTGGCGACGATCGGCTCGAGAGCTGAGTCCGGGTTACCGTACTCTTGCTCGTACTCCTGGCGGTGGCGTACTTCTTCTTAGCGACCAAAACGGCGTCCGTTGATACGTCATCGCGCATCTTGGAGATTGTTGAGGTGCACTCAGACGTCCTGGTCGACCTCCTAGTCGTGTTGGTGGTGATGTTCAATGCGGTTGCCCCTAGCTCCGCCCTAGAGGGGTTGCCTGTCGTCATGGTGCTGGTCGGTGAAGCGACTTGGGCGGCGATCGGTTCTTGTGGCGGCTGATCGGCGAATCGAGCTTGTGGAGTACGAAGATCTCTGATCCTGGTGGATCTCATTGACCTAGCAGTGCATCGCTTTAAGCATGGCGGCGACCTTGGCGACCTCTGGTGTCTACGGGAGCTAGGCGAGCTCGTTGGCGGCCACGGCCAGATTGGCGCTTGGGGTCTTGTAGACGTCGTGGCCATCAACACGGACAAACTCATCGTCGAGGTTGCGTTGGAGTGGTCTTCCTTGCGAGTCAAGTTGCTGCTCGGCCCTTGTGAGAGCAATCTCATTTGCTCGACGCTGCGCGCGGTTGACATTCCGGTTCTCGCGAGTGGCGCGTTCCTCCTCAGTTTTGCTGTTCTGAGGGGGGCTGTCGACGCTGACGTTGAAGATCGCGCCACCCCGGAAAGGAGGGAGAGGAAGTTGCTCAATGGTGGTTTCGGCGAGAGTCTCCGTAGAGCCCTAGGACTCGAAGTCTAGATTTTCCTCCAAGATGGTTTGGAGGGATGTTTCAGGGCGTCGGCTAACATGCAGCATGTTGACAGTCGACGGAGGCTGGTCGGCGATCTGGTCGGTGAGAGGATGGACATCTCCAACCTGGTCGACGAATTTGCCCCTTAGGGCATCTTGGTAGGTGGCGGCGGCGTTGGTGAACCCAAAGGGTAGGGCTGTAACCCCTGGAGTTTCCCGAGTAGCCTCTGATAGATCTGGATCGAAGGGTGGTCAGCGCTGAACGAGAGTGTCCAGAGCCGATTCGGAGATGGAGAGGCAATCGGCGAGCTTCTGACCAACCTGATCAATTGATGCGATCAGATCGTCGTTGTTGATCTGCCTCCTCTGGTAGCGAGGAAGCGGGCGGCGAGTTGTCGATGAAGGCGACCTCAGAAGTGGTTCCGAGATCGGATCTGCAGTCGTAGGTGCGGAGGTGATCAGCGCAGAATCGATCTGCACCGACTCGAGGAGCTCTCCGACTCCATCAGCGTTGATGATCCACGAGATTGATCCGACCGTGAAGATCTGGCTGGGCTGCGGGAGGGACGAAGAGCCTGCGGAAAAAGCCATCTTGTTCGACAAGGAAACAACACGCACTCCCCTACCTGGCGCGCCAACTATCGACAGAATATCGTCGGCAGTCCTCCAAGGGGTATCCCACGAAGGTAGATTGATCGGTAGAGAGGCATGTAATCAAGAACAAGAAGGCAACAGAGACACACGAGTTAGACAGGTTCAGGCCATCAGTATGACGTAATACCCTACTCCTGTTGTCTGTTGGATTGTATTGGCTATCGTATGATATTGCGTGAGTTTGGAGGGGGTCCCTGCCCGCCTTATATAGTCCAGGGGCAAGGTTACAAGTCGGTTGGATCTGAGAAATAACCGGAAGGTAATAACATATTACAGGAATCATGGGATCATACATATCTTAACAGATCTCGTAGTATCTTCAGGATATCTTTCCGGTGTCTTGCGGGAGGCGCCGAGCAGAGTCGTGCCCATCAAGGCTTCGTCTTATGGGCTGGGCCGCCCCTGGGCAGCCCATGTGGTCTGTCGTGGGTATCCGGGGTCGTACCCCCCACAGTATATGAGATAAAAATCAATATCAGACATGATTCATAACTGGTTCTAAGGCCCGAGAAAAAAATATGAGATATAATACATGATATGGTATAGAATGCGGGATCACTGATATATGTTTGTATCTGATCCGGTTTCATCCCTACTTGACTGGTTAACAACCCTAGCCACAGCATCATAAGACCACGAGGGTGGCAAGGAAGGCCGACTAGAGGGTTAGTCGGTGTGTTGGTGTGTTGGCCCTAAGTAAAACTTTAGTGTGATCTTTTTAGTCCTAGTCCTAGAGTTTTTTTGGAGTTTGACCGTGCATGAAATGAATAGAATTGCATAGGATAAGATTTTTAGTTTTGAATGTTTAGAGTTTAAATATCACCTTCATTGAGGTCATTCATGATCCTTTAACATAGCCGTAGGAGAGCAGTAAGCCAACTCAGGGTTCATTGTAGCATGTTACTCCTTTTAGGGTCAGTTTAGCATAGCTCCCAACCCACTCTCGCTCAAGGTCCCTATTGCTCCCGACATCGTTTGGTGGAGCTCACCTAACAGCTCCCACTCCCAACAGATTACAGAAAGAGGAGGGCAAGCCATGAAGGCGCGACGAGGAGGCACATGCTCGGTCTCGGCGACCTCGCCGACAGCAGGCTTGATCTCGGCAAGCTCAACGGTCTCAGTCTCGATGATGACTAGCTAGACCTCGGCGACGGTGGCCTCGGTCCCCATGATAGTGGGATGGATCTCGGCAAGCTCGACGATGGTGGGCTCGGTCTCAACAAGGATGGGGAAGCGATGATGGCAAGCACAACAGATGAATAGAGTAGGATGTTAACGGAGGTGGGGAAGCGTCATAGGAGGCAAGGGAGGTGAAGGAGACAATACGGGAGGCAACGAGAGGAGAAAGGCTGAGGAGGCAAAGCAGCAGGTTTTTTTCGTTCCCCACCTATAATGCAAATGACTACCGAGTGGTGGGAGTGGGAGCAATTCTCCATTGGATGAGCGAGGAGCGGCAGCGTTTGGTGGCGGTCTCAGAGCGCTGCCAAACAAGCCTTTGCTATCGCCAAGAGGCCGACCAGTTAGCTTGAGCTTGGCCCCGTACGCATACTTCACAAGCACGCCTTATATGACCTCAGACCCAACTCTAGACAAACAATTAATTAATTAGTTGAAAGCACAGCTTGCATATTTGAAGCCAAAAATTCAGCATGGCTGCTACGGCTCCAACGGTCATGGTACCGCCTCCCCTATCTGTTACAGCACCGAGGCGCAAAATAAATCGTCCATGCGTGGAGTAATTAACCAAACGTGGCGGGTGCTCTACGAAGTCCGAACGTAGGCACCTGAGTATATATATTAACTGCAAAAGCAAAAATAACCTCCCTTGGAATCTGGCAATCCGCCACGCCCGGGCGGTTTCTTCGTCCCGGAACCACCGCGACGCGCCGACACCGTATAGCGGTATAGGTAAAGACCGATTTCATACTCCGTGCGTCGATTCTATATAATATATTGTTCCGGCTCCTCTTTCCTTTGTGCCGCTTTCTTTCCTTCGAATCGATCGATTGCCGTTGTGTAGTGTAGCAGAGCGCCGTAGTGCGCTGGTGTAGTGTTACTTGTTAGCGTAGCGTAGGATCCGTGGATTGGTGACTGCTATTGGTGGGCGCTTGCAGGTCCGATCCCAATCGGAAATTCGGAAGCCGAGTCCCGTGGTGGTGTTAGGATTGGGGGCGCGCGGCCGTAGGGTTTGCTAGTTCGGATCGATCTCTCGGATATATCATCAGCCCCTGGTAATGAATCGCTCCAATGCGATCGTCTTCTTTCTCCTTTTTTTTTGGTTTTATATTTGTGTTAAGTTCGAATTACATTTTCAAAAAAAAAAATCCTCTCTTGCGAGGATTTGCAGATGCTTTGTGAGGTCGGAGCGGCAGTGCCAGCGGAAGGATCCACGGCGCCTCCTCCATCCAATCCCATCGGTTTCGGTATGGATTGCTCATGTTCTTGCTTAATTTCGTCAGATTGCTACTTTTTGTAATATTAATAATAATATAATTCGCCAAATTTCTGACCTAGGATTTGCGGTTCTCTGCAGGATCAAATAAAGGGAACAAAATTGAGGGCCAGATGGGATTATAGGCGCGGGTATAGGTGTGTAGCGGTGTCCCCCTAGGGTTTCCTTGCTGACAGGAGGAAACCCTAGGGCTCGTGATCTGAATGGGTTACACTACAACGACGTACAGTAATAATCAGTAAATAGCCCGGCCTTAGGTTCTACTAGTGCTTGACTTTTCACCTCCCTGGCGTGGTGGCACCGGTTGGTAATCAGCAGAGAAGATGGCGGCCGGCGTTGCAACTCTCAGCCCCCTGCAGGACCATCTTGCTCTTGTGCCACAATGGCTGCTTGGTGGACTCCAGCCACTGGATTCGATTCTCATTTTTCCTGCCATGCCTGGTATGCCACCAGTGCTGATCCGGGTCCTGGATTCAGAGTCTATCGCCTCTGTCTAGCTCCAGATCCAGCGGTTCAAGGGGTTTGTCATTACAAAACAGAGGCTGCTGTTTGGCGGGCACGAGCTTTCGCACAACAACTCCCGTGTCAGAGACTATGGGCTTGCCGATGGCAATGTTCTTCACCTTGTTGTCTGGTTAGCTGAACTCCATGAGATAGTAATCGAGACTGCCCATGGGAAGAAGTTTCGATTCCAGGTGGAGAGTGCCCACAAAGTTGGGTATCTCAAGAACATGATTACTGCTGAGACCGGGGAGCAATTAGAGAGCCTGAAGGATCAAAAGCTTGTGCTTGGCGACAAGGAGCTCGAGGATCACCAGTTGATCACTGATATTGCCAAAAAAGGTGATGCGGTGATTCACTTGTTCATCAACCAGGCAGCAAAGATCCAGACGAAACATATTGATAAGGAAACTGTGGTAAAGGTTGTTACTCCCAAAGAAAATGGAAACGGGAAACCTTTAGATCGATGCCATGAACCATATAGACACAGATAGTTGCAGGCATCCTACCGTTGAGCCGATTGTTGTTAATCGAAAGGTCAAGCTTTCTCCTGCCATTATGGAAATGATTGACACAACAATTGCTGGTCTAGAAAATGGATACCTTCCTGTCATGTCAGAAGGATCTGGGGGTGTCTATTTTATGAAGGATAATTCAGGCGAAAGCAATGTTGCCGTGTTCAAGCCTATAGATGAGGAACCAATGGCGGAAAATAACCCCAGGAGCCTTCCTTTGTCAGTTGATGGTGAGGGGTTGAAAAGGGGCACACTAGTTGGGGAAGGCGCATTAAGGGAGGTTGCAGCATATCTTCTGGACCACCCAATTGATGGATGCAAATCAGATGGTGCCGCTGGATTTTCTGGTGTACCTCCCACTGCATTGGTTCGTTCTTTGCATAAGGGGAAGGAGATTAAAATTGGATCTTTGCAAATGTTTGTGCAGAATCATGGAAGTTGTGAGGATATGGGCTCTCAAGCTTTTCCTGTCAAGGAGGTTCAGAAAATTGCCGTTTTAGATATTAGGTTCACGAATGCTGATCGTCATGCAGGGAACTTACTGGTGTGCCAAGACGGTGATCGCTTGCAGTTGGTTCCAATTGATCATGGATACTGCTTCCCAGAGAAGGTAATTAAGTGATTGTTGATATTATGTGTTTTACTTGTTTATATAGTCACAAAGATACCAACCATATGGTTTGTTTTTCAGCACATACTATAAAGTCTCTGTTTCTTTATTCGATATTAGTCACTAAGTTACCAACCATATGGTTTGTTTTTCAGCACAAACTATAAAGTCTGCATTTCTTTATTTGATATCCAGTCTATGTGCTATATATGTAACCTTACACATCTGAATACTGCTTTATGCCTCTTATAACTTTAATTCTGTTAGTTGTTCCAAACATCAATATCTGATTGAGAAGTTGTTAACTTAGCAGTGTCAGATTGCCATGTTAAGTTGATTTATTTGAAGATCTACCTTTTTAATAGATTAATTAATGAAAGTTCTGTTGCCCTTTTTCTAATGCAGTTTGAAGATTGTACATTTGAGTGGCTCTACTGGCCTCAAGCTCGCGAGCCCTTCAGCACTGAAACCCTAGCATACATCAAGTCGCTAGATGCTGTTGAGGTTGAAGACATTGCCCTCCTCAAGTTCCATGGGTGGGAGCTGTCTCCTCAGTGCGCTGGAGTTCTTCAGGTCAGCACCATGCTCCTGAAGAAGGGTGCGGAGAGGGGCCTCACTGCGTACGACATTGGTAGCATCATGTGCAGAGAAGTGGTGACGAGAAAATCTGAAATCGAGTTTCTGATGGAGGAAGCAGAGGACTATGTTCTTCCAGACACGAGCGAGGAAACGTTCTTGGAGACAGTATCGGAGATCATGGACGGTTACCTTGACAAGGTACTGCCAGGTTAGTTACGGTAATGGATGTAATTGTAAGGTTTCATCCAGTTGTAAACACGTTTAGCAGTCCCCATGAATATTTTGTGAATATGACAACGAAGATCCCAGTCCAGCTAAATCTCAGTTGTATTTTGTGTGTATTCCTTGAGAGATGTGCAGGTAGTTGTTCCGGTGTGCATATTTCGTTCCTGTTCGCAGTTGATTCTCGACGATTTATAATTTGTATAAAGTTTCAAGTTGAAGTGGGGATGGGACCTTTTAAACTGTCGAACACGCTTTGGTTGACCTCGATGAACATGGTGTATTACAATTTTTATTTAAAATATAATTGAGGAAATCATGAGACATTTAAATATTTGCGTATATTTATTGTCTGAACGTTGAAGTTGGAAAGTAGGATGCAACCGTGGCTCTCAGTCTCAAAATATAAAGCGTGCATGTATTTTAAAATTCAAACATTGTAATTTTTGAACAATAACTAGTCTAATCATGTAAAGAGCTTGTGCTACAAAGTACGAGCTGTTTGGTTCACGGATTTGTAACGTCATCCGATTACGTCGGTAATAGATAACGTGTGATCGAGTTTGTTTCGGTCCAACCGTAATCCAATCACGCCGTAATCAGATACCGCCCTATAGGAATTTGTTACCCCTGCTATAAGAGCGCGAATCGATACCTGCGGCGCATCCACTCCGCTCCGCATCTTGATGAGGCGCATTCAAGCAAGCGGATGCCGCGCGTATGCATTCATGAATGGAATAGAATGGACGTAGGCTGGCTGGATGTCTTCTCCGCTCCAGATCTTCCCGAACGTGGGCCCCGCTCGAGATCTTCCCTTTCTATTTCCGTTATTGTGGAGAAAACAAACAAATCAAGTGATCTGTTTCTTTATTAACATTACCTGTGTTTTTTTATTACGTTAGCGTTTGCGTTACAGTTTCTGAACCAAACAGCATGGTAGTTGCATTAAATTTGTATTTAGACATGTATACTCTCTAATGATTAATTTTTTGTTGCCACAAATGATATATTATAAGAATTAGCGATTAAAGCATGATTTTGAAGACCACACCAAATTAAATCATACCTTATATTTTAGGATGATCGGAGCAGTTATTAAGGTCCAAACGAAGTTCATTGTTTGTTTTTCACATTGTATCTTGCATTGCATATCCAATTCAGCAATGTTTGATTGAGGACATGAAATTTCAAATGATCCCTTTTACAGTGATCTTGTTTCCAATGAATAAGGGAGACAGAAAAAGCAAACCTTTCGCTGAAATCAATTTCCCCCCTGCAGGTCAATTCTGTGTAGCACGGTTAACGAAAATCACAAATTTTTCCATGGCCCACAAAAATACAACTCGTGATCCACAAAACCGCGGTTTTCTGCTGTGCACAGCAGAGAAACCATAACTACAAACAGCCAATGGCAGGGAGGCACAAAGAAAAATGAAATGAACAGACCTGCTTATTAACATCGTTGCAGTAAACTACATGACCAGATATAAGATCTGACAGCGACTTGTGTTAACCCAAGTTTGGTCTCTTCACACAAAACACTCGCCAAAATGACTTCGAGGAACAACCATTTAGGGCCATGAATCATAAGCACCGGCGTTGATGTCTAAAACAGCACACAATGCTACACTGAAACATTTGGTTTAAAATTTAAATACTATCAAAGCTCGAGATGTTGTAGATAAAAAAAAAGGCAGTATATGTAAGATGGAGAATCATGCAATGCTACTAGCTAATTATATGTAACAAAAAACATGATTCCCATGCTTGTTTCAAAAGATCCTCATTGGATGTTCCACTTTTGCTCCAGGGCACTGCATATCCGATTTAAACAGCAGGCGGCACTGAGAGGGTAGTTGCAAACTGCACAAACAGGGAAGCATCACTATGGTTGAATTGAAAGGAAAACAGATAAACAAATAGTATGCAGACATTGTAGTCTTCACAAAATCTGTTCACCAAGGAAAAGTGAAAACAAACAGAATAAAGAAAGGAAAATAATTTTGGACATTTATTTTGCTAGTTTCTCATTCTCTAAGTAGGATGTCGATACCAGCAACTCAATCTAGTCAAAAGCAGGATGATAATTTGATCCAAACTGATCATGGCCAAGTTGCTACCAAGTTAAGGCCATTTGCTACACGTAACAACCAAACCAGGGTGAATGCAAGAAAATAAAATGTCACCCTGATCTAATTTTTCAGCATAATTTTTTTATTATTTCAAATAAATGCTACTTACTTTGTATGTAATCATCTGTGTATTCCTTGTCGATCTTTCCATGAGCCATAGCACCAACCTGGAGATAATGTGCAGACAGTATGGGATTACGTACAAGCATTAAGGGATCAAAATAGCCCAGCTTACAAGCACAGTAACTCACCACAAACACAAGAGGTTCATCATCACTGGATTTGGCAACATAGTCAAACAAGTTGACTGACTTCTCAGCACTAAATGAAAGGCCTAAGTATTAAAAAAAATGTACCGATTAGCATATCTACCTGATATAAAATCATATTAAACAATATAGATTCTCACCAATCTTTCGTGCATCAACAGGTAGATAGCGGGTAACAGGATTTTTAACAACATTAAGAAGCTTCTCACGCTTCCCAACTGCCGTAATGCTCAGTTTTTGTAACAATTGTGCTGCCATATTATGTAGTTACTTGCAATCAGCACAATTATCAAAATAACAGAAACACATAAGATACAGAAGGTACAAGAGTTTTAGTAATAACTTACACATTAAACCACAGAAACGTTTAAACGTTCTAGGCATGCGGACATGAGGTTTGATTTCAAACAATACTCCCTTTTCAGTCCTCACATAAACAGCCAGTAACCTTCCAGCCTTAGTCAGAGGGCTATCAAATATTGCTAGTAGAGCCTGCAAAACATTTTTGAAAACAAACTCATCAATGACAAGTTGGAAAGGATGTCTGTGAGAAAGGAATGAGCTAAGTTATTGTTGGCATGCCCAGTCAACTACTTTTTACTAGGTCACTGATGTTTTATTTAAGAAATAGCACAGGATGCAGGGGTGATCAATTGGAAAATGGAAATACAAAAAGAAAGCACTTGACAATTGGATATAGAATAAATGTCCGATTCCCATTTACTTGAAGCAAATAATTGAGAATCAAATTCAAATAAAAAGAGGAGTGTTTTTATTCATCTTCCAGTATTTTCAATATTTTCAGGCAACCAGAAATTTACATTACCTGATGAATTATATCAGGCCTATAATCTGCAGCATTGCGATTCTGCTTCCTCAAATAATTTGCGTGATCATCTGAGTTCAAGATTTGCATAGTCTGCACATAATGGTAAAAGAAACTGTCAAACTAATACCCATGGAGTGATAACCATTTGTTTAGAAAGATAGCATCGCAGATGTTATGCTTGATTTTTTGTTTCTGCAAATAAAATTGAACATTTTAAATGATTAAAATGGAAATACTAGCAATGGTCAAGGTCAAGGATAGCAAAGTACAAATATGCCTTATTACAAGATAGATAGAAGAATCTCTAAACAATAGACCACACCAAGTCTACTCTCAAATGAATAGTGATGTCTAGTTGACACTTTTTTATAATATAAAAGAACATCTACTTAACACTGGAATTCAAGATGTGTAAGCAACAACCTTTTGCTGGGAAAAGATCTGCATAGGCTATAGCCATAAACTGAAGGAAAATGACAAGCCTCATATGTGCCATGCACGCACAAGATGTCACCAATATCTCTACAGAATCCACTCAAAGCCAATGATAAAATTATCTACTGTTGCATAATCACAAAGATACTGAACATTCCTGGTACAAGGCATTCTTGATTTCTTTCATCAATTTCCACATTTCTGCAGAGTTGTCACAGCAAGGTGCACATTTTAGTTTCATGATAAGGTGAAAGTTACTATGCCTTTGCCCTTTTTCCTATACTAATAACAGTAGAACCATCTCAATAAACCAATTGAAATCGACTAAGCTAAGAGCAGGATTGAACTGGACATAAGCATCCAACGGAGCCAGAGTTGAATTTGTTCCGGAACAGGAATAGCACAAGAAAAAAAGGGGAATTTCTTGCTGCAGCCGAACCACTGTACCTTGCCAACTTTGCCGACGTCGAGGCAGGCCCTCTCCAGCACGAAGATGGCCCCAGGCTGACGCTTCCCATCAACCATCCTGGGTAGGATAGGGAGCCCGTCCACCGCAGCATGCCCCTCCCCCCCAGCCGCTGCCTGCTCCTCCTCCTCCTCGTTACCCTTCTCCTCGCCACCGGCCTCCTCTGGGGGTGGCAGCTCCTCCACCTCTTCAGCGGGCGGGGCAGCGTCAGAGGCTGCCGCCTCCTCGAGCTTGCGCTTCTTCTTCCGTCCCTTCAACCCGTAAGGCCGCCCCATCTCTCTGACCCTCTCCTATCTGTAGCCCTGGGCAATCGGTTTCGTCGGTGTTATGACACTTGAACGGGCTTCCGTCGGGGCCGCGGTGGCAGCTGCGACACCTTAGCTGCAGGAACATATCAAGAGCTCCGCATCAGCTCCTCACAACGCGCTCGTCAATCACCGAACTAAGCAGCCAAGCAAACGGGGGAAAATAGAACCTCACCTTCCCTGAACGACCTCGAATCGAGGACAGGACGATTTGAGGGCTCGGTTCAGTGTTGAGCTCTGCCCTTGGCCCCTTTTTGCTTGTTCGATTGTGCGAGGGTAGGAGATACGGAAGGGAACGACGAACCCACGACCGGCGCCCGCGGTGCCCGTGCCCCGCGGCCCTCCGCGACGCTGAGTCGCCGCGAAAAGCCAACGCCACGCCCGCGCGCCTGCGCTGCGCAAGCCACCCGCTGTCGTGCTTGCCCACCGGCCGCCGCCGCCGTCGCGTCTTGCGCCTAGGGTTTTGAATGGGAGCAGCCGAGTGGAAGGGGACGAGAGACTGTGCGTGCTGGGGCGGGACTTGTGCGGTTTGCCCGCTGCCTAGTGCGGATGAGA